TGATCGAATAATAGCATTTGTCAATTAAATATTCCTTAAGCTTTAATTTAAATATGTTAAAGTCATTTATGTCTCGTATGGATTCCGGTACTTTATTATAGATACGAGGAGCATTTCCAAAGAAACTCTTATTAAATAAAGTAGTTTTAGCTTCGATGGCACACAGTTTGTTTTTGTGACGTTCACGGGTCCTGAACTCAAATTTATCAATATTATTTTTTATAAATATACAACACTCCAGAATGTATAGACAAGGTAAGTTCAAGATTTTTTATTTATGAAATAAAACTTACATGAGACATTTGACTTTAGGCTATACATAGATCTAATGCAGCGTTTTTGTGCTCTAAATACAACTTCCCTGTTAGATGAATTACCCCAAAAAATTAATCCATATCTAAACCATTACAAACATTATAATTTGACTATTGAAATAAAGGGTGATGAAAAGGGGTTGGCGAGTTTGGCGATCTTCTGTGAACTGTTATTTTGTAAGGAGTTGGCGACTAGTCATATACGGGACTATACACACTCGTTCCCACCGCTGCAACTCCTGTGTAGCCAGGATCTACAGCTTGACCGCCACAAAAACCCAACCAATGAAGGTCAAGTTTGTCCCGGGGGAAAGTTAAACTGTCCGCAACGAAGTTAATCAGAAGAACATAGGAGGAGTTCGAAATTAAGGTTCAACTTTCTACGGTGACAAACAAAGGTACCTTTAAGAAAAGACCAGATCCAGGAGAACAAACTAGTCATATATCTTGCTTTTGTCATAATAAGGAGTAAAAGGTGGCGCAACTGCCAAGTAATATTATGACACTTGCTAATGGTTATGACAGCGCAGCATTGGCGCCAACTAGTGAACACATACTTATTAGAAGGGCTTATAGTATTTTCATTGATGAGTAAGACCTTGTGACTTGCCAATGGCGCCAACTGGCTGACAAATACTTAAATAATTTGTGTTGCGATACTCACCTCGCAAAGAATGATCCCGAAGGAGAAGACGTCGACCTTCTCATCGTACACGTTTCCGTTCATCATTTCCGGCGCCATCCAGTACGGGTTGCCCACCACCTGAAATAACAATGTCAGACACATTTAACAAAACAATCATATTAATGTTACAAATGAGAAATAAATAACTTAGTCCGCTGATCTGATTTAAATGACAGATACGGGACTATTCCCACCTCGTCCCCACCGCTGCAACTCCTGTGTAGCCAGGATCTACAGCTTGACCGCCAATAAAAACAACCAGTGAAGGCCAAGCCTGTCCCGGGGGAAAGGTTAACTGTTATTGGATCCGCAACGAAATTATTCAGAAGAACATATGAGTTCGAAGTGAGGGTTCGACTTCCTTTGGCGCAAAGCGGATTACAGGTGACAAAACAAAGATTCAAATTTAAATTCAGTCTTGTAACCATATAAAGTCTTACCTTTAAGAAAAGATATACAGGGTGGAATTTGGTAATGCTACCTGAAGGGAAAGTACTCTAAATACTGTACCGTGTACCGCTTCCTTGTGCGCGCGTGCGGCGCGCGCTCGAGCGTGCTGGCGGCGGTGCGCTGCACGATGCGCGCCAGCCCGAAGTCCGCCACGATCACCGTCATGTCCTGCGCACATTAACACCGCTTACATAAGCTATAGTCTCGTCGCTGAGCACGTAGAAATTCGCGCGTAATGAGGGCTATCGTTTTAGCGCTCACCAGTTAGCGCCACTGTAGAGTAAGGTCCTGCCACTTGCTAGAGTTGCTAGTAGCGAAGACAGTGGCACCAACTGGTGAGCGCTAAAGTGGTAGGAGGACTATCGCATTTGCACTCATCAAGATGGCGCCACTGTAGAGTAAGGTCCTGTCAATCGCCAGGGGTGCCAACTGTTAAGTATAAAAACGATAGCCCTCATTATATTGCTGTTGCGCTTGCACACTCACTGCGGCCGCCCGTCGCGACAGCAACATAATTACGCGCGAGCGATAAGGATGGGTAGCTCGGGGTCATTGGACAAAATTCTACGTGCTCAGAGACCGGGCTTTACTTGAACAGACGAAGCCGAGGGAATGCTACGTCTATTCCCGGTTGTCGACAGTGGCTTTGACGCTACTGAGGATAAATGGAAAAAATAATCCCGATTGTCACCAGTGGCGACTTAACACATACTTTCTCAGTTGTAGCTACAGGCTAAATCAAAATTATTTTTATTTCGTTATAGGTATAACTTATAACCCAGCCTCGTTGGCGGAAGCCCAGTAGCCTTATTCACGTAACAAAACTTCAACGACAAATCGAAATGACCCTTGTAAATACGGATTTAGAATTGTTTTTCAATAGGACTACTTCTGAACGTCATCAGCGAGATTTTGACTATGTCAAAAATAATACGTGAATTACTTACAGTACTTTCGCCAACAAGGCTCGAATACTATGTTCCTCATTGATTGAGGACTGTAAAGCAACATCTAGTTCTCACCTCTCGCACGAGGCAGTTGTGCGAGTTGAGGTCCCTGTGGATGACGTTCATGCGGTGCAGGTAAGACAAATCAATTTCATTTATCATATTTTCAGGTGGCTCTATCTGGCTATAGTTGCGACGGCTCTCATTGGTTGAGGACAGAAAAGCAACATCTAGTACGTACCTCGCGCACGAGGCAGTTTATATGGCTGTTATTCACCAAGGACGCGAATAAGCCCCGAATACTATGTTCCTCATTGATTGAGGGCTGTAAAGAAACGGTTGCACGTACCTCTCGCACCAGGCAGTTTTGTGTTGCTGTGCGGTCGCGGTGGATGACATTCATGCGGTGCAGGTAAGACAAATCAATGTCATTTATCGTATTTTCAGGTAGCTCCATCTGGCTGTAGTTGCGACGTCTCTCATTGATTGAGGACTGTAAAGCAACATCTAGTACTCACTTCTCGCACGAGGCAGTTGTGCGAGTTGAGGTCCCTGTGGATGACGTTCATGCGGTGCAGGTAGGATAAATAAATTTCATGTATTTTACCGGTGGCTCCATCTGGTTATAGTTGCGACGTCTCTCATTGATTGAGGACAGTAAAGCAATGAGAGACGATGATGATAGATGTTGCTGTCGCGCTCGCACACTCACTGCGGGTGCCAGTCCCACAGTCGCGACAGCAATATAATTACGCGCGAGCGATAAGGATGGGTAGCTTGGGGTCATTGGACAAAATTCTACGTGCTCACGGACCAGGCTTTAGTACTCACCTCTCGCACGAGGCAGTTGTGCGAGTTGAGGTCCCTGTGGATGACGTTCATGCGGTGCAGGTAGCCCACGCCCGCCGCCACGTCGCGCGCCAGCCGCGCCCGCGCCCGCCAGCCCAGCACGCGCCCGGGGTCCTGCGGGAGCATACGTTAATACACTTCACACTTTGCAATTTATAACTCACTTAACGTCACATTGCTCACGAGACGACAACATAGATTGAAATGATTGTCGATCATTCATTCAGCGCCTGAGCAACGTCGAAGTGTTGTGTTACTTGTTCGAAAAAAAAAAAACGTTTCAGGGCGATTGTTTCAACATAAGATTCTAGGGTGGGTGCACCAGTCCCACACCAGGAACCAGTAGTTTTTATGTTTTTATTTTATTTTTCTATGCTGAATAAAGTATTCTTATTCTTATTCTAGTACACCATTTCTAATTACACATCAAAATATTAACAATCTGTCGAATTTCCCGCCACTTTTGTTACGTTTGGTAGCACTGCCGTACTTCTACCAATCATTAGTCATAAATAAAAGCGACAAACACGACTTGGTACGATCTGGTCAACCTTAGACACATTGCGACTTTCCACATTGGTTGTTAAATAAAAATAAACCTTTGTCCAGCAGTGGACGTCTTTCGGCTGAAACGAACGAACAGCTATTAAGAAAATTGGAATAAGCTACTTGATTCTATGATAGACAAGGAGTAGTTAATTCTTTTTTTTTGCAATGATTGTTGTAATAATTGAGTCACAATATCAAAATTACTTTTAAAATGTCGCTTATTCGGTTTGTTACTGGTACACCCACTCTATATAGGTTTTTTTTTTTTTTTATTTGTGGCAATTAAACCTCTCTGGGAGGTTTATTTCTGCCAATGTCGAGTGAAAAATATTGACATAGTTATCAATAGAACGTGGGTGTTTCAGTTCTATTGATTTTTCATGGATTCCGTGGGGTTAAGTATGCCCGTAAGCAGGTTTCGAGACGCCACCGGGTCCAAAGCGGGTTGTTCATACGACAACCCACTCGACACTCGATGCGCGCTCAAATTCGAAGTATTTCAATGTTTTTTATAATTTATCACTTCACTGCACTTTAGAACACAAAATAACACCAAATTTGTACACTAAAGTCCATTAAATAATAAATTGAAACCATTAAAACAGATCGACCATGCTTCCCGTTCAACTACCCTCCACGGAATCTATATAGGTTATCCAACGTGGCAAAAATCCGAACTGATAACCTTGTGCTCCTCCTGTCAATGTCATAGCAGTTGTCAATGTCATTCAGTGTAGGACAACTATTGGTAGAATTACGGAGCGTCACCGCTCACATGTCGTAGGGCACAATCAATGTCCGTATGATTGTTTCAACAATCGTTATAGCAGTAATTATGGTAGACTGATACTGGACAACCGGTGCTTTTTAGAACTATTGATAAATTATGTCAACTGCGTACTTCAGGAGTGTTTGTTTCAACAGCCCTTTCCGCGACAGTTATGGCCGACCTATATTGAACAGCGGGTATGTATTAAAATTATTGGCAAATGTCTTGAACTCCTAAATTGAAATGAGGCAGTTCTTTCCAACAGCCCTTATAACGACAGTTACGGCGAACCTATACTTGACAGCAGGTGTATCTTGGAATGTCATGTTGGTAAATCATGTTGACTGCCCGATTCAGAGCTGGTTGTTACGAAAAGCACGTGGATTTGCATGACCAAAGTAGCAAGCGACCTTTTTTTAAGAAACGGATCTCTTCTAAACAACCTGGACAGCGATTGCGATAAGATAAGATAATTTATTTATTTGCTTAAAACATGGTATACATAATTAAATATCGGTGTTACATGTTGAAATGTGCTCATGTTCTGCTTCATCAAAGAATGCATGCAAACATTTTATATACAGTAGTTGGAATCTAATTAATTAATACAAAAAGTTCATAATAATGTCTCAGTTACAATAATGTCAGAATTCAATTTAAGTCAATTCATTTCAATTTACAATAATGTCAACAAAATATTAATAATCAGCTTAGCGCAAATGTTATGTCGCAAAGAAATCCTTCATGTCATAGAAGCTATGTTGATTTAGCCATTTATATAGTCTATCCTTAAACAAATTAATAGTGAGCAGTTTAAACAGTGTCTAAGAACTAATGGTCAATGATGACAACAGCCCAGTTCAGGGGCAGTTCTTTCCTGGAACAGCCCTTGCAGTGGCAGTTATGGCCAACCTATACTGTATAAGGTCTAAGGATACTAAAATACCTGTGAAGCGATTTCGATAAAAGTGGACTGTATAGCGATAGGGAGACTTCCAATATATTTCTGTGACTTGGGTGAAAAACTTTAACATTGAAAATAATGTAAAAGGATTGCGATCGGGCTTACCTGGCTCCTGAAGATGTTTAGCCTGATACGTACAATTCAAGTAATCCCCCAGTGCTGGGCCCAGATGAGTTCCTACCGTCCTTGTAGTAACGGCCACGCTGGACACCTTCACACCGCCTCTCACGCAATCGATGATGGATTTAATAAATATACTACTTTAAACTACTGCGACACTAATTGAGAGTAATTTCTATGCTTGCGCGATAATTCCGACAAGTTTAACCACCTTTTTTGGCGATTCGAAAACGAGAGCGACACGACGGCCCAATCCAAATTTTGCAACTAACTTTATTTGACAGTTCAACCGAATGTTGCTATACAAAAAATATTAAATAATGCTACGACTATGGTTTCACATTTATGTCAAAAGTGAACAACACCTACTTGTAATGACCCATGTTCGTAAATTAAATATATTTTGATTTGATTTATAGCGAGTGTATTAGAATTATTTATTGGTGAATATTTCAGCGTGACCGACCTGTATGAGCTGGTGCAGCGTGCCGCCGGGCACGTACTCGGTGACGAGGTGCAGGCGCTTGTCTCGGTACAGCACGCCCACGAAGCGCAGCACGTTCGGGTGGCTCAGGGAACGCAGCACCGCCACCTACGGACATTTTTAACACGCTTTTACTATGCTTCAACCACACCAGGTCGCGGGAAGAGCCTGGATGCGGGCAGCGCAGGACCGTTCATTATGGAAAACCTTGGGGGAGGCCTTTGTCCAGCAGTGGACATCATTTGGCTGAAACGACGACACCAACGCGTGCAGATTGCCATCCGGCGCGATCCAATGACGATTCAAGGTCGCGCGACCTATCATTGGCCTTTGATCGCGCCTTCGATGGCGATCTGGACGCGTTGGTGTGGTTAAAGCTTCAGATCGTCGTGTATTAAACTGATCTGAATTACACGCACTTCTAATTCTTGTATCATCATGAAACTGTAATTTTATGTAGATTATATGACAATACCATCTGCTCGATGGTACCATAATATTATGGTACCATCGAGCAGTCTGATGATGGGACTGAAAGTGGGACCTTGGGATATGGGACCTTAAGAACTCCTAAACGAAAGGGCAGAATCGCATCGAGTTTGAGTTTATGGGATTAGTCTTTTCGAGCACATTAGTGCTAGATGATGTTCAGGGCCCTGGTGATGGAGTCGGGAGATGTCCATAGGAACTCCTAGTGACATACAAATTAGAATAGGGCCCAACTAAAAGTCGGTGGTTTGCACCTAGGCTTACTGCGAGTTGGTGGAATGTTGACAATGTAGGATTTGTACGCCAACCCGCCCCTTGTTTGCTTGATGATGGAAGTGGAACAGTGGAATTAGTGAATGTAAAGAACAAAATACCTCCTTGAGGAAGTTCCTCTGCGCAGCCTCGTCGACGCGGTAGAGTTGCTTGAGCACCATGACCTCGTTGGTGGCGCGGTGCGTCACCTTGTACACCTGCCCGAAGAAGCCCGAGCCCAGCAGCTCACCCTACGACAAAATAAATTAGTAAACATAGTTTGGGACGCTACATGTGTCGATACTTTAGCCCCTTCCCACCTCAGGGAATCAGTTGCTAAAGCTGGGGCTGCAGCAGAGTCGGCTGAGTTAGCCAAACGACGACGACGTAAGTTTATATTTTTATTTTGTTTAGAGTTAAGTTTGCCTTAGTTGTAAACATGTATTTATAGCTTACAGAGGATTGACTACTGACTGACTCGCTCACTCATCACGAAATCTCAGAAACTACAAGTACTAGGAGCCTCTTTTGCATGGGGGTTCGTTTTAGAACGTAGGTGCTCACTAATAACGGATTTTACGAAACTCCACCCCTAAGGGGGTAAAGCGGGATCCATGCGTACGAAGTCACGGGCGGCCACTAGTTATAATATGAACATGAAATTTAACTAAAGCTCGGTCTGTGAGCACGTATAATTTTGTCCAATGACCCCTAGCTACCCATCCTTATCGCTCGCGCGTAATTATATTGCTGTCCCGACTGTGCGACTGGCACCCGCAGTGAGTGTGCGAGCGCGATAGCAACATAATTACGCGCGCACGATAAGGATGGGTAGCTTGGGGTCATTGGACAAAATTCTACGTGCTCACAGACCAGACTATAAAACAACATAAAGAAGACCATTGGACGTAGCTCAAGTCTTTGTTGGAGAGCCTTTCTCTAGCCTAGTGCGAATCTATGCTATTCCCAGTTCCCACATCTCGTCCCAACTGCAACTGAACCTTTTATCAAATCTACCTTAAAACAAACCGAATTGCATTTAAGTATATCTAGAGTAAACATAAATAACTTGTATGATTTTTGCAACATTGAGCGTGACCCAGTTTATTATTTTTGTTTACGCAGACACTGTATGTTGGATGTTTTTAATAAAGTATGTAGAACAAGCAATATTATGTAGCACATCGTATTGATTTCAAATCTTAAATGTAACTTGTGTAGATTTTAATTTTTTAATTATATATTATTATGTATAAATATTAGATTATATATTTTGCTAAAAATAGTTCTATTAATAAAGTAATGTAAGCCTTTTTTTTTGCCTGAGATACAGGAATTATAATTCTTAGTTCAGGCACGTATGTACTTTTACCTATTATAGTTTAATATTAGCCTATTGTTAAAAACTGTCAATAAGTTATTCAATAAAGAATTTATTTATTTATTTATTTATTTATTTATTTATTTAACTTCTGTGTTGCCAAGATTTATAACCCGTTTGTCAAAAAAATCAACCAGCTAAGGTAAGATTAATACATGTTTTGTGCACCAATTAAGTTAGTAATGATGTCGTGCCCTGCGTTCCCAAACAACTGCCCGCGGGAAGATTTAATGAATGCTACTGACAACGTCATTCTTGTAGCGGAGTTTGGGTTGACACTGTGGTTTGTTGTCGACACGACAAGAAAAAGTAAAGGTATATTTTAAGAGATAATAATAAACTTTAAATGTCGTGTCTTTTATTTTACAGAGCAACACATGCGTTTATTTTATCTCTGAGAAAGAGTACATTATAAAACGACATTTAAAGTTTATTATTATCTCTTAAAATAATATAATGTACTCTCTCTCAGAGATAAAATAAACGCATGTGTTGCTCTGTAAAATAAAAGAAACGACATTTAAAGTTTATTATTATCTCTTAAAATATCTTCATATTTCCATAATGAGTTTTCACTATGACATTCATTTGATAGAGGTCAAAGTCATAGACAAGCCATAGACCTTAAATTAAAATGTATTTACTTAACAGGTATAATACCTTGATAGACTGTAAAAAACTTTATAAAAGAAGTACCTGCAGCAAGTCAGCGGCACGGAATACAGTCTGGCCAGGCGCGGGGTGCGCGCGGAAGGAACGCGCACGGCTCAGATCTCGGAGCACCCCTCCACACCCCTCACCTCCTTCCACACTGAGGGAATTACATTCAAATACATTACATAAACGTTAGTTGGCAATTCAATCACATTCTCATTGCCTGGATGTTAGTTTGGACTGAGGATTACATTGTTATTTTTTGTTGTCTTTAAAAACTCAAATAAACTAAATCTAAAGTCCGATCCGTGAGCACGTAGAATTTTGTCCAGTGCTCGCACACTCACTGCTGGTGGCAGTCGCACAGTCGCGACAGCAAATATAATTACGCGCGAGCGATAAGGTTGGGTAGCTTGGGGTCATTGGACAAAATTCGTGCTCACGGACCAGACTATAAAATGTTATGATTTTAAGTTTTTTTGCATTCGAAAACTTGACAAAAATGTTTTCTACATAGTGAGATACGCTTTTTTGGAACATAAACGTTCGTTCGTTTTAGCCAAATGGCGTCCACTGATGGACAAAGGACTCCTCAAAGGATTTCCACAACGACTGCTTCTTCTGGATACGGGCAGCTCAGAACGTGTAAATAAATACAAGCGTAAAAAAACAACAAATACTTACACATCAAGTAACTTCGACATGCTGCTGCTCCTCTCCTTATCGCCCAACAGCGGCGAGGACGGCGTCTGCCGCTTCCTCATCTGCCGCCCCTTCCCCCCATCCTCCCCCTTCCTCTTAAACAGCCTCTCTTTCCTCCCCCCTCCCCCCTCTTTATGCTCCGGAATGTCCAAGTCTGTTGTGTGTTTCTTCAAGTCTTCCCTCAGGATTTTTCTTTCGACGGGCGATTTTGTGTCGTGTTTCAGCTTTTCTTCTGAGTCAGATGTACGCTTGTTGTTATTATTGTTGTTGTTGTTGGTGCTGTGGGTTGTTGCTTCGGGGTTGTGTTCTATGGTTAACTGGGAAGATAAACGATTTATAAGCACAATAGAAAACTCTGAGGAAAGACCAGTGGGTAAGGGATACAGTCTAAACACCAAGTGGGGTAAACATCTTAGATGCTGTCAACAGGTGAATAATATGTAATCTGCAAAGAAATTAGAAGAAAATAAGAGGCATTCGAATCAGTGTTCCTTCCAGCGCAAAGTGGATGGCAAAAGGTTTACATTAAAAAAGTATACATTACGGGTACCCATCTGTCGTTCGGACGGAGTCAGCTATCAGTCTACTTGCCCTGTGCCACAGAAACATACCCTTATGACAACGGTCTAATGCGCCAGTTCGCAATGAGTCAACCTGTACTTGATGTTTCGCGCTCTTTAGTACGGGTACCTGCTGACCTATACTGTAAACCCCTATGCTTCAAGCACCTGGCGACCTGTACTGTACTGTAAGTGACATGTACTGTACTGTAAGTGACCTGTACTGTACTGCAAGTGACCTGTACGGGTACCTGTAAGACAGCGGCCGGGCGCGCCAGCACCCGTTCTATCTCGTCAGCGGGCGTGGTCCTGACGGGCGAGCCGTTGATCTGCAGCGTCAGCAGTCCACACAATAAGTTGATCCTTACGCGCCCTAGTATTAAGGACAACTGTCGACTTGTACTGTACGTGCTCTGTCCTTTATACCTGTAAGACAGCGGCCGGGCGCGCCAGCACCCGTTCTATCTCGTCAGCGGGCGTGGGCCTGACGGGCGCGCCGTTGATCTGCAGCGTCAGCAGTCCACACAATGAGTTGATCCTTACGCGCCCTGTATTAAGGACAACTGTCGATCTGTACTGTACGTCCTCTGTCCTTTATACCTGTAAGACAGCGGCCGGGCGCGCCAGCACCCGTTCTATCTCGTCAGCGGGCGTGGTCCTGACGGGCGAGCCGTTGATCTGCAGCGTCAGCAGTCCACACAATAAGTTGATCCTTACGCGCCCTAGTATTAAGGACAACTGTCGACCTGTACTGTACGTCCTCTGTCCTTTATACCTGTAAGACAGCGGCCGGGCGCGCCAGCACCCGTTCTATCTCGTCAGCGGGCGTGGTCCGGACGGGCGCGCCGTTTATCTCCAGGATGCGGTCTCCGATCTGCAGCGTCAGCAGACCGCACGACGAGTCGATCCTGGTGAAGAGACAATTAATTAATTCAACTGCATTAGCCTTGCCAGCCGGAGTATAAAGCGCACCGTGATAAACTCTTATCAACGATTTTAGACGGTAAACGTAGGAATTAGCGGGCAAAATCGATAAAATTAAATGTCCCGATAAAAGTTTATCGTGGTGCACATCTCAGATCTACGAGAGGTAAGCAAACGAAATTTAGCTGACAACCGAAAAAAAACACTCAGAAATTAAAAAAAGAAAAAACGGTCTACACCATGTGAATTTTGGGAGCTTTTGTATGAAGGATATTTACGTAGGACAAAACACAATATAATCATAATATTAAGGTTATAGAGGGGAACAATGCAACTGATCTCTTTCTATAAAGAGTCCTATGTATGACTAGTTGCGTCCAATGACAAATTATTATCGGGACTTCCCTTACAAATATGAATAATCACAGATTTTATAATTTTATAAATGCAAATTGCAATTTATCACCTATTTATCTCCATCAGTCGCTATCTCTTTTTGTTGTAATAGAAATGCGATTATTAATTCAATAAAGATCTGTCAAATAACTCCACTGCATGGCCCGTATTCTGTTCTATTCTTAAGTGTACAATAATATTTCGGTCGACTTATTACATTTAATTCAATAGTAGGTTGTTGTCATCGCAAAGTTATTTTGGTCCGCTAATACGTAACTTTCGTAGAATCAACTGACGGAATGAAGTCACTGAACTAAGGCTGAGTTGCACGACCTAACTTTGACAGTAACTATGACGATAACCCGTGTTTTTTACGGAGTTTGACAGATTTTTGACGTTTGTCAAAGTTAAAGTAAGATGGTGCAACCCAGCCTAAGTTACTAACGTGACTTATTTTTGCCAAACCAAAAATACACAGCAAACTGCACTTAAAAAACTAAAGGGCATTACTTACACACTCACTCGACTACGTGTAGCTTCACAAATCATTTTTGCATCACTTCACTATAAACGGGACTATTCCCACCTCTCTTTCCCACCGCTGCAACTCCTGTGTAGCCAGGATCTACAGCTTGACCGCCAATAAAAACACAACCAGTGAAGGTCAAGTTTGTCCCGGGGGAAAGTTAAAAGATGTACACTATGTAAATAAAACGCTTTAATAACATACTGTGTATGTATTGATAGATAGATAAATCATTTATTTGCACACACTTTGACACACAATTAGCAAAAGTTAACAATAGGGGACAAACTACAGGACAAGCTTACACTGAGTAGTCTACTCGCAAATTAATTGAAACATTAAATATGCATGACTTACATAATGTTTATCAATATATTATTATTATCCTATAATATTATTAGGCCAGTTCGCTTGGAGTGTGACTCAACATGCATTGATAATGGCAGCAGTTTCTTTAAAAAGGAAATATTGAAGGATAATTCTATTTAAGTACTACATAAATTGTGAAAAAATGAAATAATGCTACAAAAGCAGTGTGGGTAAATTATACAATAAAGAAAAAAAAACATATCAATTGCTCTGATACTTACACGCTAAAAAAATCTTAACTATTTATTACCGAAATTAAACGATCCTTTCTAAGATTAGTTTTAATTTAATGGAAACCTACTTTTTGATAATTTGGCGCCAAAAATGTAAGAAAATATAATATGCAACACATGAAAAAGCACGTGTGTTAAAACTTAAAATGATTTAACTATGAACAAAATAGGAATATCGTTACACTTACAGCATCACCTCTTTCTCGATCAATGACTAAAACTACTTTGGCAAACATAGAAAACTATTTTATGCTGTAGGTACACAAAATCAACACAGTACCACAAAATGCACTTCGAACTCAATACAAATAGATAATATTATATTTTAATGTATTAATAATTATGTAACGTAGTAACCAATAACAGTGACCGATTATACTGCATACGCGACTATCACCCGCGCAGACGGTGATTCATAATAATAAAGATGAATAACATTTGTTTGTTTGTCACTCACAATGAAATTGCTTCAAGCATATCACCCGATGCTTGAGTGACGTCATAAGATTGACCACAATAAAGTCCATCGAAAGTCTTGGTCTAAGCGTTAAGGTAGAGATCTCAACTCTGGATTTAAAGTCTGTCATAATAACATACCATAGGCGTCATTCTGCTCAAAATATTGACGAGCTCTGTTTTCTTAATGATGATTAACGTCATAGGCACTCGTGTCACTTACAAGGAATTACCCGAAACATCACCCGGTGTTTGTGTGACGTCATAGGAATACGCCAACAAAATGTGACGTATGCGTTTTCTAGTATGGACGAACGGCAGCACATCTAGCTCCACAATATGAAAACGTGATAGTTGTGATATGTGTTACTTTGCAACAAATAAACATTTTTCTTTATGCACAAAAAGACATTTCATTTGATCTGCAATCGCACTTAATGTTAAGTGAAATGCAGTCTTGGAGGGTAGGTACATATCCAGTGGTCCCCATTTGGGTATACATATAGCAGGGGCACCCCAGAATGGTCCATTGTCACCCCCTGATGCTTGGCACCCGGGGCGGACCGGATTATGTGTTCGAGAAAGACAGCAGCGGGCAGCGAGAATTCCAGGTCTAATATACTACTAACTTTAGATGAGCGTATTTTCAATTACACACATTTCATTCATATAATGATTCATCGTCATTCATGAGCGAAAGCAACAAATAAGGCGATAAATACTAAAATCAGGTAAAAGGTTCAAATTACTAAAGTTTATCTGTATTTTGCCTAACTTGGTAAATGAAATGGAGTGACACAGAATTCGTGTGAGTTTTGTATTATGAGGTTTCCGAGTAAAATGATAAATGAATACCAGAAAAATTCATGCAATAAAACGCAAAGATGCGACAGTCACTACGATACGGATGGTAGAGAGGGTAGTGAGGAGAACTACTTATCACTACAGATCCAAAAGTATCCGTCAAAAAGCGTAAAGGCGCGTGCGCACGTTTGACTTTTTGTCGCCAGTATTATCCCGTGATAGTATATCTGTTTCTTTTACACCTTTATAAAGAGAAAAAGATAGACATACTGTCACGGTGACAAGTCNCTGACATAGCCCGACGGATCAGCAAGCTGAAGTGGCAGTGGGCTGGGCACATAGTACTCAGAATTGAATTACCTACATACATCATAAATTGCAAGCTAAATAAAAGCTTGTAATAAAGTCGGGTTTGTTCAAATTTCGAGAACGACTGAGCCTACAAAAGCATTAGAAAATTTACGAAAAATTAAATAAAATTTTATCCCGTACAAAATGTTCATGGATTTTGTTATTTTTATTAAATACCTTTACGCCTGAGTTAAATGACACCGACATCAAGGTTCATTAATTTAAGTTTAAAATAATAGGCAGTAATGTATGAAGAAAGAGTTTCTATTCTGTATCTACCTATGCCCGTGTATTTTTGATCGGTGTCAAATCGGAGTTTTTGGTGCGGGGTACGCGGGTGTTGCTCGCGGCGTGAAGGTCAAACGCCCAAGGTCATTGAGGACTCTAATCGCCTTAATGTTAAGTGAAATGCAGTCTAGGATGGTAGGTACATATCCTGTGGCGGCGTAGCATGGGTTGGCACCCGGGGCGACACCCCCTCCCCCCATAAGTCCATAAGTTGGGTATACATATCGCAGGGGCACCCCAGTATGGTCTGGTGCCCCCCAGGATTTTAAAGATGTTGCTATGATGTACCTACTAAGTCATGAGATATATGATACCAATCGCACCCCTCCTCTGTATCAGACACTTCGTTGTCACCCCCTGATGCTTGGCACCCGGGGCGGACCGGATTATGTGTTCGAGAAAGACAGCAGCGGACAGCGAATTCCAGGTCTAATATACTACTAACTTTAGATGATCGTATTATCAATTACACACATTTCATTCATTTAATGATTCACTGTCATTCATGAACGAAAGCAACAAATAAGGCGATTAATACTAAAACCAGGTAAAAGGTTCAAATTACTAAAGTTATCTGTATTTTGCCTAACTTGGTAAATGAAAAGGAGTGACACAGAACTCGTGTAAGTTTTGTATTATGAGGTTTCCGAGTAAAATGAAATAAATAACTAAAACCAAATAAATTCATGCTTTACGATGAAATAAAACGCAAAGATGCGACAATCACTACGATATTGAAGGTAGAGAGGGTAGTAAGGAGAACTTCTTATCTCCTACAGATCCAAAAGTATACGTCAAAAAGCGTAAACAGGCGCGCGCGCACGGTTGATTTTTTGTCGCTAGTAGGTATTATCCAGTGATATAATTATATCTGTTTCTTTTATACCATTATAAAGACATTATCACGTGACAAGTCACACGTCCGCGCGCGCCTTTAAATTAGCGTGGCGTTGTAGCAAGTGAGTAAATTTTAAAGAAAGCACCAAAATATCAGAATGTGGACTTGACTTCGCAAAATGCGCACACAAGGCTGATTGATGAGTTGAGATGAGACGAGAAAATCTTCAGCCTTTACATTTGTATTGAAAAATCAACAAAGCGCAGTGCACATTTTGCAAAGTGCGTGCACATTCTGCGTCAGACCCGTTTTTTAGTATCTGTAAGTAATATTAGTATAGAAAAGTGCGCATTTTACGTAGTGCATTCTGCGTCAAAGCAGAGTAAATACAAATTAGTAGGTTATCTTCATAATTTATCGTGGATTATCGGGGAGTCAGTCGTGGTTGCGCCGAGTTTTGTCAGTGCGTGCGTGCGCGACGCATACGTATTGGCGCGCTCACATACAAACCGCGCTCGGTGCGCTTCTATGAAGATGACCTACTCATTTGTATTTACTCTGAGTCAAACCCCTCTGGTGGATACGCAACCTTAAGGGACTTAGGGAACTGTCAACTGTCAGTAGTTTCAATACCTGCGGCAGACGAGCTGCAGGCAGGCGGCGAGCGCGGCCCTTAGAAGCGCCCGCGCCACGCGACACAGCTTGGCGCCGCAGCGGGCCACGTGCACGCCGCACGCGCACCTACGCGTTAGCACTGTTAGTGGGTTACTGGGCAGTGTGGTGCGATGAATTTGTTAGTTCTTGTATCTTATTGGTAAAGCTATAAGTCGTTATAAGGTGTAGAGTGAAATGTAGAAGAGAGATTGCAGCAGCGCACGCGCCAGGCGACACAGCTTGGCGCCGCAGCGGGCCACGTGCACGCCGCACGCGCACCTACGCGTTAGCACTGTTAGTGGGCTAGTGGCCATGATGCTAGGAATTTGTTAGTTCTTGTATCTTATTGGTAAAGGTATAAGTCGTTAAGCAGGGTACTCATCTAGCCGTGTAACATGTAATGTATCAGATACTGTATCAAGTGAGTATGTACTCACTTGGCACGAGCCCGCTGCTCGCGCGTGCTTCGCAGTAAGATCGCAGCGACCCGCCGAGTGGCAGTATCTCTGCGAGCACAAAGGCGGCTCCGGGAGCTCGCAGCTAGGTACGCGATGACCGTGGACGAACCGTACTCATTTCAAGGTTGGATACGTTACATGCTAGGTTACGTGCTACATGGCAGGTGAGTACCCTGCTTTATAAGGTGTAGAGTAAAATGTAGAAGAGAGATTGCAGCAGCGCCCGCGCCAGGCGACACAGCTTGGCGCCGCAGCGGGCCACGTGCACGTCGCACGCGCACCTACGCGACATCACTGTTAGTGGATTAGTCGGCGATAACGTGCGGTGAACTTGTTAGTTTTAGTAACGCCATAATAAAGCCTAATTCGCACTAAAGTCGAGTAATCGCTTTTAGTAACTAAACTATTCGCTGCGGACCAAAAAACCGTTTGACTGGTGAGCGAGTGAGCCGAGACGCGTGGTGGCAGAGTGCTATTCGCTTATCAAAATAGAACATAATGGAAATAGGCTCGACTAAACAATTTAGTAACTTACTCGAATAACTTTTTGGTTATCAGACGATGTCACGTTTCTTAATAACTCGACAAGTGCGAACAAGACTCAAGTCTTTATTATACAGTGTGAGTCTTGATAAAGTGCACATATGAAAATAGGTGAAACTAGACCATAGTTCTACCAAGATATTAGTAAAATTGTAGAAGAGACTTCAGCAGCGCCCGCCCCGCGCAAAAAGCACGTAAGATAGTAATTGCTATGAAATCTAGAACGCAATTCATTTGTTATTAGAAATTATTGATGAGTTAATTAGTGAAATTATCAATATTATCAAGGGTCAGTAATGTTAGACCAACATAATAAATCTAGGTATCAAAGGTTAAGGTGCTTAGAGGTGATTTAATGAACATATCTTGGCGGCAGGTTTGATCCGTCAATATTGTTTATTATCATGACATCATACAATAACATTTCCGTGGAAGTTTTACCTTTGATCAACTCCGATCACAATCAAGAAAGTTAATAAATAACTGTTTATGCTGAACATATTATGGAATTCATGGAAGTTTCATTTATTTCTTGGACATTTTTGTATGGCGCCTTCTACTTCAATATAAAGGGCGCTTGTTCTACAGTACCTGACAATCGATATAATTAAAGCATACTGAATATTTTTATGACTATTAAGAGCACGGTCTTAACGAAATATATCTAAAGGTTCCTTTTGAATCATTATTACTTGCGTATACTTGTAGTATAGACAAATTATACAGGTCACAGTTTCCAAATATTGTTCCAAAAATAGTAAATTTCATATAGTTCCAAAATACTGAACTGTCTTATGCATGACATTGACAGTGGGGCGCCACCGTCAATACCGGATCGCTGATTTCGATTTTTGCCATGTTGGAAACCATATAGTTGAACGATGGTAGCGCCCCCCTGTCATTGAGTTTGGTGGGACAGTTCAGCGTGGGTCATCTATACAATACTATTTGTCTCCATGAGAGACACTGTATACTTCAATTACGCGAGTTAACTCCGCAAAGCGCCATCTAGTGGTAGGTTTATGAACTTTACGTATAAATACTCGTACAGGGGAGTATTATATGCATAATGGTGACTGAGTTTCTTGCGCTGCTTCTTCTCAGCACTGGCCCATTTATTGTCTCGAAGCAGTGGTAGGGTTAATACTGGGACGTGTAAAGTGACGAAAATATTGTGCAAATGCGGGTGGGTGAAGAATATTCATCGCGCTTGAGCACACGACGCCGCATGTCTTCAGTCTCGCGGGCAGACTGACATGAGTTGAAACATCGGGAGGGTCGGATTTGTTTACCTTTATAAAAGTGTTATGTTGCAAAATCCAGTAACAGTGATAATTTATCGTGTAAAAGTCCTTTTTAAATCCTATTTGCAAAAGTAAATGAGATTTATGAGTTTTACTAGCGGCCGCCCGTAACTTCCCCGTACGCGTGGTCCCCGTTTTACCCCGTTATAACCAATGTACACTGTGATTCAAATACATAAAATTTCAATATTATTTACGAATGTCAAAAGCAGTAGTTTGAACAGCGCCTGATAGATGGCGTTGCACGGCTTCGTCGTCCGCATGAATATTTACGAACGTCAAAAGCAATGTTGATAGATGGCGCTTTTTTGTAAATATTTCTCACATTTTATTTATTTATTGTTTGTTTGTCACATATCGTCATAAATTGTAGCATATATGTTATTCTGGGTTTTATACAATAATACTGTAAAGTTTCGTCGAAATCCGTTCAGTAGTTTTTGCGTGAAAGAGTAACAAACATGTTGACATCCAGACATCCATACAAACTTTCGCATTTATAATATTAGTAGGATTATTTTGGGTACTCACTCGGTGACGGTGAGCGCGGCGGCGCCGGGCGCGGGCGTGACGCGCAGCGCACGCGCCGGCGCCTGCAGCACGCGGATGGCGGGAGCGCGCGCGCCCGCCGAGAGCGCGTAGCACTCGCCGCTGCAAACAAACCGAAGGTGTTGTAGGGATATTAGGGATATGTAGTTTTGGTTATGGATACGGTTACGGATATAGGAATAATATTATACCGGTTTCGATTACGGTTACGGATAGTTTTTTATTCCGGATATCAGAAAGTTTCGGATACGGTTACGGATATCCATAACATCCCTGATGTTAAGGTGGGTCTACACTAGACGAGCCGAGCACGAGCGAGGCACGCGCCGAGTCAAAATTCGAGTAGCGTGAATTACGAGGCTCGTTCGAACAAACTCACTTCGAGCGTTTGGCTCGTGCTCGACTGTGCTCCGCCTATAGCAGGGTACTCATCTAGCCGTGTAGCATGTAATGTGTCAGATACTGTATCAAGTGAGTACATAGGCACAAGCCCGCTNGCGCCACGCGACACAGCTTGGCGCCGCAGCGGGCCACGTGCACGCCGCACGCGCACCTACGCGTTAGCACTGTTAGTGGGTTACTGGGCAGTGTGGTGCGATGAATTTGTTAGTTCTTGTATCTTATTGGTAAAGCTATAAGTCGTTATAAGGTGTAGAGTGAAATGTAGAAGAGAGATTGCAGCAGCGCACGCGCCAGGCGACACAGCTTGGCGCCGCAGCGGGCCACGCACACCTACGCGACAGCTTTGTTAGTAGGTTAATGAATGGCGTAATGCTATGGATGGATTGTTAGTGTTTGGTTAGTCTTAATAACATGTAGATTGTAGAGTAAATTGTAGTAGAGATTGCAGCAGCGCGCGCGCCAGGCGACACAGCTTGGCGCACCTACGCGTCAGCACTGTTAGTGGGTTAGTGGCCATCATGCTATGGATGTGGTAGGGCGTTTTCACATTTAAGACTTTAACAGCGTGACGCGATGCCGATAATTTCATACTATTCGTATATGACAGCGAATGCCTGCCTTCACATTACAAGAACGCCACTGCCGCGTCGGCTGCTGTCGCGCTTTTGACGCCCTAATGTGAAAGCGGTCTTAGTATCTTTTTTAAGAAGCCTTCTTTAATGATAAAGAATAAAATTGTAGAAGACTTCAGCAGCGCCCGCCCCAGGCGACACAGCTTCGCGCCACGCGCGAGGCGCACCCGCATCTACATGTTAGCACTGTTAGTGGGTATGATGCTATGGATTGTTAGTGTATAAGATGTAGAGTAAAATTGCAGAAGAAATAGGCGCGTAAACCGACACAGCTTGGCCATGGCGCGAGCCTACTCGTACTAGTCTCCGCCTTTGAACAGTGTTTTAAAGTGACGTTTAGTATGGAAATGTTATAAAACAGTGTTCAACAAGTGTGTAACTTTTTATTGGTAAGGGGGTTAGTGTCAAGGTCTCGTATGGATCTGATGTAGTTTTTTAACTTTCTTAACCTAATTCATATTTGAATGATCAAACGAACTTACCAAGTGAAGTTCGATCTAAATTATCCTGTTTTCGCCGAAGAGATTTAAGTTCCCTCCCAACCCGAAGATTTCTATATCTTCTTCCCTGGAGGTAAACGTCAATGTCATCTCTTCTCTAAATATAATGAGACCGCTCGGACACCGAGCCCACAGCGTGGTAGGGGTGGGGTTGCCCGCTCTTTTGTTTTTTAATACTACTACGCTGAATATTGTGTGCGGATTGGGTTGTCGTACAGGGGTACTACATGGTAAAATAAATCTCTTCGGCGAAAACAGGATAATTTAGATCGAACTTCACTTGGTAAGTTCGTTTGATCATTAGAATGGCTACTGGGTAACATCTCGCATTACCTCGGAGCAAAAAAATGGCTACTGGTTAACATCGCGCGTTAACTTGGAGCTAAAAATGGGTCAAAGTTACGCGTCGTGTCACAACGCTTATAATAAAAATGTACGAGCACTTGCACAAAATAGTTGTTACAACCAACCTTTTGTTGGGTCTAATTCTCGTCACTACACTGCACAACTTAAAATAATTACGTTTTTTGTCGGTAAAAACGTCCTGGTGACGTCACTTAAGCATTTTTCTTATACTGCGTGCGGTCGTTGCGCGTGCGCACAAAGGAATGAGACCGCTCGGACACCGAGCCCACAGCGTGGTAGGGGTGGGGTTGCCCGCTCTTTTGTTTTTTAATACTACTACGCTGAATATTGTGTGCGGATTGGGTTGTCGTACAGGGGTACTACATGGTAAAATAAATCTCGGAGGCGAAAGCAGGATAAATTACATTTTATATCCATAGCTAACAGATCCTGAAATGTAATTTGACCCACTACTGGACGAAGCTCCAAAGAAATTCAAGTGATAGCAGAGAAGTTCAGCGATTGTTATGGAATTGGGACGCAAATCATTTGCTATTAGAAATTATTGATAAGTTAATTAGTGAAGTTATCAATATTATCTAGAGTCGGTCGGTTAGACAAACATAATATCTAGTTATCAGAGGTTAAGGTGCTTAGAGGTGATTTAAATGAACATATCTTGGCGGCAGGTTTGATCCGTCAATATTGTTTATTATTATCATGACATCATATTATAACATTTCCGTGGAAGTTTTACCTTTGATCAACTCCGATCACAATCATGAAAGTTAATAAATAACCGTTTATGCTGCCAAACATATTATGGAATTTATGGAAGTTTCATTTATTTCTTGGACATTTTTATATGGCTCCTTCTACTTCAACAAAAAGGGCGCTTGTTGTACAGTACCTGACAACAGATAATAAGCATACCCGTAAACATATTTTTATGACTATTAAGAGCACGGTCTTAACGAAATATATCTAAAGGTTCCTTTTGAATCATTATTACTTGCGTATACTTGTAGTATAGACAAATTATACAGGTCACAGTTTCCAAATATTGTTCCAAAAATAGTAAATTTCATACAATACTATTTGTCTCCATGAGAGACACTGTATACTTCAATTACGCGAGTTAACTCCGCAAAGCGCCATCTAGTGGTAGGTTTATGAACTTTACGTATAAATACTCGTACAGGGGAGTATTATATGCATAATGGTGACTGAGTTTCTTGCGCTGCTTCTTCTCAGCACTGGCCCATTTATTGTCTCGAAGCAGTGGTAGGGTTATACTGGGACGTATAAACTGGACGAAAATATTGTGCAAATGCGGGTGGGTGAAGAATATTCATCGCGCTTGCGTAGACGACGCCGCAGCTTTTCAGTCTCGCGGGCAGACTGACATGACTCGTGCAACCGGAGTTGAAACGTCGGGAGGGTCGGATCGGATAAAGGCTTCGGCAGACCAAACGCGAGGCAGTAGCAGCGCAGTTTGAATGCGGGCCCGCGAAAGTTGTAATACAAGAAACTCTTTGAAGTGTGTCACACCAAATTTGAACGCGGGCCCGCGCTCCAACCGCGCCGCACTGCTACTGCCGGACGATAAACGAGGCGGCGCGGGTGCGGGACAGAAGCGGTGCGAACGCGGGCCCGCTCTGTTGTATTACTATGGCGGCCATATTAGCATGACACACCGGAGGCAGGGCGGTAGCAGCACGTTGAAAGCGGTTTTTGAATATTGAATTTTTTGACAACCGCCTGTGTTGCAACTGCTTTGAAACTGCGCTGCCTTCAGTGTGCTTACTGCCATTATAATTTACTAGCTGACCCGGCGAACTTTGTTCCGCCTTAATGGCAATAAATAAGCAGACTTTTTTTTTTATTTCGAACGGGATAAAAAGTATCCTATGTCCTTCTCCTGGCTCTAAACTACCTCCCTGACAATTTTCAGCTAGATCGGTTCTGCCGTTCTTGAGTTATAAGTGGAGTAACTAACACGACTTTCTTTTATATATATAGATATTATTATTTATCTTGAATGCTGACATTAATTATGAATGAAACAATTAATTGAAATGTAATTTAATTTAATGTAATTTATTATCAATAATGTCAATGTAATTTATAGTCAATGTGTTTTGCAAATAAACCATTTATCTATCTATCTATCTATCTATTAAAAACTGGTATTATCAATATTTGCATGCTATGCTATGAGTTATGGCTGAACAGGCACTGACACTTCGAAACATGAAAATGTAAAAGACCCATTGTAACCCTGTTTTATGCAAATAAATAAATTTGAATTTGAATTTTTGAATTTGAATTTGCCGCGCTGCAACTGACCCGCATTGCTTCTGACCCGCGTTTGGTCTGTGGAAGCCTTAAAAGTTGCAAAATCCCGTAACAGTGATATTTATTGTGTAAATGTCCTTTTTAAATCCTATTTGTAAAAGTAAATGAGTTTTATGAGCTTTTTTATGAGTTTATATTGGGTACTCACTCGGTGACGGTGAGCGCGGCGGCGCCGGGCGCGGGCGTGACGCGCAGTGCACGCGCCGGCGCCTGCAGCACGCGGATGGCGGGAGCGCGCGCGCCCGCCGAGAGCGCATAGCATTCGCCGCTGCAAACAAACCGAAGGTGTTGTAGGGATATTAGGGATATGTAGTTTTGGTTATGGATACGGTTACGGATATAGGAATAATATTATACCGGTTTCGATTACGGTTACGGATATTTTTTTATTTCGGATATCCGAAAGTTTCGGATACGGTTACGGATATCCATAACATCCCTGATGTTAAGGTGGGTCTACACTAGAAGAGCCGAGCACGAGCGGAGCACGCGCCGAGTCAAAATTCGAGTAGCGTGAATTACGAGACTCGTTCGAACAAACTCACTTCGAGCGTTTGGCTCGTGCTCGACTGTGTTCCGCCTATAGCAGGGTACTCATCTAGCCGTGTAGCATGTAATGTGTCAGATACTGTATCAAGTGAGTACATAGGCACGAGCCCGCTGCGAGCTGTACGGCTAGCACGAAAAACTTCCGAGTTCGAATCGTTTGCGTATTCGAATCGCCATCAAAAGATTTAGTACGAAAACTACAACAGCGCCCTTGTGAACGTGTCGTAAAGTGAACTTAGTAAGAGAAATGGTTGCACGAAACTTATTTTGATAATCAAAATTGTCACGTTATCGTTTAATTCGAAGGTTAAGTATCGAGTTTTGTCGAATACGCAAACGATTCAAAGACGAAAGGTGTTCATGCTAGAGGTACTGCTCGCGCGTGGTTCGCAGGGAGATCGCAGCGACCCGCCAAGTGGCGGTATCACTCTGAACACAAAGGCGGCTATTGTCACAATATTGCGGATACGGGAGCTCGCAGCTTGATACGCGATGACCGTGGACGAGCCGTAGTCACTTGAAGGTCGGATACGTTACATGCTAAGTTACGTGCTACAAGGCGTGAGTACCCTGCTTTAAGGTGGGTCTACACTAAACGAGCCGAGCACGAGCGGAGCACGCGCCGAGCCAAAATGGCAATGCCAGATTTTGTATGGAAAGTGGCGTCTTTTTTTTTTCGCGCGGCCATCGACCAAACTTTGTTTTTTGATTACAAAATAGTGTAATAAACTAAACTTACTATGGCATGTATACCTCTAAACTCAGTCTGAACTGAGTTACGAGTATTAGAAGTTTGATGATTTTCATACTAGATTTGCTTTTTGTGCGCAAGTTTTGTAAGAAAATGCAACAAAATATTGCGCTATTTTTTTATTGCGCTGATTCTGCTCCATACTGATGTCTGGAGCCTTTAATGGATGGTATTGTTGGTTTACACATACAATCTCACTATTTTCCTCCCTGACGGTTTTGCATTCGTTGGAAAGGTCTCGGGCTCCGTGAGGTTTATAATAAAGAAAATTCAGGAAAAATTTAAAGGGGATAAAACGGGATCCACGCGTACGAAGTCGCGGGCGGCCGCTAATTGGGTATAATTTGTAAACAAAAAATGCAGTCTTATGGAAAGATCTTAATAGTATGGATTATACAAGGATGGAATCACTGATGAGCAACGGGACACTCACCAGTACAGACTGGAGCGCTCCACCAGCGCATAGGGTTGGCCGTCCTCTATGTGAGCAGCGCACGACACGCACGCAAAGCACTCGGGGTGGAAGCGGTGCTCGCCCGCAGACATCACCGGGCCTGTTATCACCTGCCAGAGAAATACATAATGAGAATCTTCTTCTTTGAAAATTATAAATAACTTGAAAAAATCGAACTGCCTAAGGCGGGAATTGAACCCACGACCTTCCGCTTGCCGGGCGACTGCTCTTCCAACTGAGCTACTTAGACACTGGATGAACCCGTCGAAATTTTCAAGTGTAATACGCTGTTACGGCCAGCGTTAGGCAGTTCGATTTTTTTCAAGTTATTTATAATTTTCAAATTAGTTTGAGATGCGACTCTTAACGCTAAAAATTAAATAATCTTCTTCTTGTCGTGTCGACAACAAACCTCCATAACGTCAGCCCAAAACTCCGCCACAAGAATGGCGTTGTCAGTAGCCTTCATTAAACCTTCCTGGGTGCAGTTGTTTGGACACGCAGGGCACGACATCATGTGCTTCGTCGACTGATAATGATAATGAGAATAAAAACACGAAAAAAAGAATCATGTTCGAAAGTGAAATGATGACACTAAAAATCCACTTTGTTCACCCAGGTGATATCACCCAGATGAGCAAAATAGTCATAGACATAAATCAATAATAATATAATTTTTAATACATTTACTTTGGTGTACATTCCATTCCAACTTCAATGCAGTAATTTATTTACTTGTATACTACATTATTTATTACTACATGTATATGCTAATAGGTATTTGATAACCTACCAATAGGTGTTCGAATACCTACCAAAATATTTTAAGCAAACTAATGGGTTACCTCATTAGAACACTACAAAATAAGGAAAAAAACTTTGGAAACATACATGTATGGTAACAAAGTTTTGATGTGCACATTACTGCCTGAGTATGAACTTATAAAAAGGATTTAAAGCATAATAATACCTAATAAATTAATCCATGAATTATTAAATAACTATGATACTTTAATGCTTTATTGTTGAGGTGCCCTCAAGGGTGTGCTTATGTATTGATAACAGCAGGCAGCAGAAAAGTTCTCGAGTGGCGACCACGGGGCGGAAGACGAAGTGTCCAGGCCCCCCACTAGGTGGACCGACGATGAAGGTGGCGGCAGGTGCCTAATGCGTGCGGCGCAGGACCGGTCGTTGTAAAAATCCTTGGGGGAGGCCTTTGTGGGCGTCATTTGGCTGAAAGGAACGAACATAAATTAACAACTATAAATTAATTATGCATTACCTGAGTGCATTGCTGACAGCTCTCTCCATACCGCGCCCAGTAGTCACTCTGGCAGAACAGGAGCCCTGCCTTCTCGAAGTACCAAGAGGATAGCGCCGCGTCGCATACTGAGCACCTGTTTATAAAAATAAGATTCATCTTTGCTTACGAAGATTGTTTTTGAAAAACGAAAATTAATTGCAAAGTAGGCACTCTCATCAATGCATAGTTATGCTCAGGCCCCTCTTTCCCACTGGGCACCCTGGGCACAAGCCCAGGGCCCCACAATCGAGCAGGCCCCCATCTGTTCTCATAAAAGATCTTTACCCAGATGAGAAGGGCCTCCCTTGATCCTTATGTGCCCAGGGCCCCTAGTAGGTTAAAGACAGCCCTGGTTATGCTGTTGATTTATACACCTTTTCAGAGTTGATATACCATGACTCTTTTTGTATGGAAATTGGAATATGATGATATCAAGTCACTAAATTAATTCAATTTAATTGACTGGCATTTTGTTAATTTCAATTAACTATTTAGTTTTCAGTGATTGAATAGAAAGTTTTTATAAGCTTTAATTTAACTTGCATTGTGTTTGTTTAGGCACAGTAATTAGGTAAGTCAAATCTTGGAACTTAATTTTAAAGAAGTAGTGTCTTAAATTAATAAATAAATAAATATCCTTGGAAATTTTACACTGCGCCTCTAGTTCTAAACTAAGCAAAGCTTGTACTATGGGCACTAGACAACGGATATAAACATACTTAAATACTTTTTTTTTTGTAAATACATACAAATTATTTGGTAATACACTTATATGACTGCCCAAATTACCTCCATGAAAAAGATAAACAGAATGATTTGATTGTTCACTTACCTAAAGCAGTCTTTATGCCATTCCTGCCCGAGAGCAGACACATAATCGTCATCACCAATGTCATTTAAGCACCCGGCACAGTTGAGGGATTCTAAAATCAATCCATCAATTATAATTCTGACCTTCATGTAAAAGCAATGAACTTAATTTTATACTATTGGTCTAAGCTATAGCTATAGAAAACTACAGTGGGTGGGTAATGATAGTTCAAATTCAAATTCATTTTATTTGCACAGAATCATGGTACAATACATCATATTATTTATAATAGTTTCAAGCTTTTGCATTTTATTAAATTAATTCTTCTGCAATAATTACAAAATGCTTGTTTCATGCAAAGTTGTGCAAATCCAAGGATGACTGATTTGACATTATAACCACTTTCTAGGCTCAGTTGTCGCTTAAATATCAGTCTAGAAGGCACAATCCTCCAATTAATAAGTTGTAAGTCCCTACAGTATAAACCTAAAATGCGGAAGTAAACAAAATTCCAGAAATTGCTTGATCAAGTTTAGTGTAAAACTTAGTCAAACTCATACCTACGGAGTTCTTTATGAGAATATTAATAAGTAGAGGACCAAAATATAATTTTATGCTTAGAATAGGCGAGGCAGGGGGCAAACAAAGGATATTTCTTAGCAAGCTTCGCCCACACAAAATATTCAGTGACAAGTACTTCCAAAACAACTATTTTCAAGCACTTTAAAGCTCGAAAATACTATCTTAAAAGAATTACAGCTTACCATTCGTGTTTGTTCCCTCCATTTCATTGCAATTACGAACATTTAATTAATTAAAGTAAGGAAAATATACCAATAACTTGTGCCTTAATCTTCATTGCTTGAAAATGACGTAAATTATACAGAGCTTGACAGCTTAGCTTAACTGACATTGACAGCATTTATTAAAATTGCAATATAAAAATATTTACCCAGAATTATATTGATTTATTCTCCCGAAAAATAAGCAAAGCAGAGTAAGGTAAATGTGACTTTAGTGGCCATTTCCGTTGACTTTAATAAAAATCTAAAATTGCATGAAAACAGTATGGGTTAAAAGAAAACGCATACAATAACGAAAAAGCATTTAATTTCTTTAAATACTCCGTTAAACTAATTCAGTGATTTTCTCATCAGTCATTTAATTTTAGTGATGGTGCGTTATTGTTTTATTGTGATGAATAACATGTTTATGCTTATTTCCATGCTTGCTCATCTTGACTTTGACCTTGACAAGCACTTCCAGTTTCTTAAGCAAGTCCTTCAGCTCTGGGTCATCTTCGTCTTCTTCGGAAGAGTCACTGCTGTCATCAGAGTCTTCATTTGATTCTTCATTTGACTCTTCCTCCTTTTCAGGTTCTTCAGTATCAGGTTCGGTGGGCGGTTCAGTGGTAGTTGTGGGCGCTTCAGTGGTAGTTGTGGGCGGATCGGTGGGAGGAACCTCGGTAGTGATCGTGGGTGGTACAGTCGGCAGCGCCTCCTCATCATCTTCATTTAAGTTCTCGAAGTCAAGTCCTGAGATTTGAGTCAACCAGTCATGGAATGGTCCAGGGCGGATGAATCCTGTAATAAAATACTTTATATAAATAAAATCAGTGGATTATGCTGCTAATAAAAAAATTAGCAGCATAGCTATTATTGTGTGCGTGTGTTGTTAACCTTGTAAAACAAGTAAATTTGTTACTTACCAGCTGGTAATCCAGAGTGACAGCCAAAGGTTCCACCAGCAACAAAGGAAGCTATACCCACAAGGGTAGGTACGCCGTTTTCGACGTGGATGAGTGGGCCACCGCTATCTCCCTATTAAGATAAGATAATTAAATATTTAATACCACTTGTGACGTAGACGTTAAAGCTTTATTTTATATGTTATATAATATTATGTATAATAAAAGATCAACACGCGAAAGTTACTCTACCTGGCAAGTGGATTGGCTAGTGACATTGAAGTATCTGGCGCAGATAGCGTTGTTGGTGATAAGTGCAGTTCCGAAGTTTCTTCCACACGCTTCGTTCGACACACCAAATAGGTAAACCCATTGCAATTTTTGGGATATAGCGCCTGTGAAGAATAATATTGTTAATATTTGCACTGAACTATATATTTTTTTCTCTAATAATGAAATTTTAAAATGATTATTTCTTACTTCCAGTCCAAGTGGCTCCATGTCCGCTAGCAATTAACACTAGATTTTCGTAATTACGGTTTACTTCCGCACGAGGCTGTATACGAATTGGTTGGGTGAGCCCTGCAAGAAACAAACAAGATGATATTTCTCTTGCTACTGTTATTATAATAAATAATAATAATAAAATCAGAACAGAACGAAAACTCACTGGTATACCTAACCGAGTCCTTCAGTTTTACCAAGGAAATATCATTAGGTTGTACAATGTTGGGCAACTCGTCTATGAAAGTTGGATAGTTAAACCACTCTGTGGACTCAGAGGTAAATTCTGGGTTGTTTACATCGATCACGCCACCGTGGATCTGGAGTCTTGCACGTCTATGAAGGAGAATAAGTTATTTTCATTATTGACACAAGGTCTGGATCAACTTTAGTCATGGTATTGCTGATGCTGGTAAACTAAACACATATTGAATACTACCATAACTGCGGTAAGTTTACGTACCCAGCTGTACAGTGGGCAGCGGAGATCACCCAGCTCTTGGCGACCAGGGAGCCACCGCAGCAACACAGCGAGGCACCATTGGGGTTTATCATGCGCACCGCTACGTGGTGCGGGAACTGACCAGGCATCGCGTCCCATCCAGACACAATACGTGAGTCTGCAAACACAATAGACTAAATATAAACGATTTGCTTTCACACTGTAGACACTTTTTTCATTACTACTTGATGTTGTTAAAAAGTGGTTCAAATCCATATTAATAAATCCCTAAGCCTTTTTGGGAATAAATAGTGTAGTGTGTCGATTTCACGACTAAGGAGTAGCCAGCAGTAGCAGAAGGAATATACCTAAATGTGAAATAAAATAATTCACTGGCATTTAGGTACTCACCGCTATCACTCTGGACATTTTCTAGAAAGGTAGGTTCTACATTTTCAATTGTATCTGGCCTAGCTGGTACCTGTAAAATAAAAAAAAAGTCATAATAATACTATTATGACTGAGTAGGTAATCCTTATAAATTATTACTCATCAAGGTCCTAAATAGAAATAAATCATTTTCGGGGACTACTTATGTGTAGGTAAGAATTTTTTTTTAATGTAGGTATGTGTTGAGATCTTTACCTGACCAACGGCAAGAGCGATTACGAATGCCACCTTCCACGACATCTTAATGATTTAACACTCGCCACTAAAAGCACTAGGCCTGTGCTTATATCACAAGCCAATAGATAAATAATATAAGCATCAAACGGCGTCGTAAAACCCCTGTAAATATCAAACTAATTAATTACTGATAAAAATACTTAACACTGATCTAATCTTGATTGAGTGTACCGGCAATATCTATAGCATATCGGAGAAATCATGTTAAAAAAATAATATTAATTACGTCACAAAGACGAAGTTTATGAACTTCTTGAAAACTTACAGTTATGAGGGTTAAGTTTGTTGGTTAGTAATAATTAATATAATAATCGCTTAATTATTGCATTGTATGTATAATAAAAATAAATAATGTGATTTCGCAAAATATCATTTGAAATTGTTTCCGACGAAATAAGTTTCAAAAAGTTAATTTCTTCATGAATTCTATTTATTCTTATAATTTATGACATTCATCATTCCAAAAGTAGTAATAATCAACAGTCTCTAAAGTCTCAATTAATTGAAATTAAAATATTACTAAGCATTAAAAGGCCTACTTAATTATTATTATTACTCATAGTAGGTAACTGTAAAAAAACATTTATTATAACATCAGTAACTAGGTAGCTACATAGTAAAAAGTAGATACGTATGCTAAATTGCAATTGATTTGATTTTGATTATACATACATCATGATGACGATAATTCGTGATTTAATGATTTAAAGATCTAATGATCTGAACATCACGAGTGGGTTCACCACAATAGTAGAGCGGAGGCGGGATTCAAACCCGCGTTCTTCGGATCACGAGTCGGCCAGTCCGACCCCTTTACCGTTCGTCTATCGTGACATTAATCAATCAAGACGTTATAGCAAGGAAAAGAAAAGAAAATTTACGAAACAATACAAAACATTTATTTACATCAGTGTTATAGTTTCCGGTGTTAAAAAACATTAACCTCATGTCATCATATTAATGACGATGCGATATAGATTTATTGTGTTTGTGTTTGATTTCATGCTTGTGCTTATTTCCATACTTGCTCATCTTGACTTTGACCTTGACGAGCACTTCCAGTCTCTTTAGCAGATCCTTCAGCTCAGGATCATCATCTTCGTCGTCTTCGGAGGAGTCACTGTCACCTGATTCTTCGTTTGAGTCTTCGTTAGTATCTTCTTCTGACTCAGGAGCTTCTGTCTCGTTTTCAGGTTCCTCTGTGTCGGGTTTGGGGGGTGCTTGAGTAGTAGTGGTAGTGGGTGCCTGGGTAGTTGTCGTGGGCACCTCAGTAGAGATTGCGGGTGGTTCAGTAGGCGGCGGTTCAGTCACATCATCTTCTTCGACGAGGTTGTCGAAGTCAAGACCAGATATCTGGGTAAACCAATCGTGGAATGGTCCGGGGCGGATGAAACCTGCAATCCGAAGTAGGTATTTTAATATCGATGACAATAAAAGGCAATAGAAAAATGTAATATTTTGTATCGTAAATAATGACCATTTTATTGCTCATCTAGGCTTGAAAATATTTTAGAGCAACAAATAGTTCGATGACGATAAATGCAACAAAAAACATCAACAACTCTTTGAGTTCATAAGCCACTTACCACCTGGCAGCCCTGAGTGGCAGCCGAAGGAGCCGCCGGCGACGAATGACGCCACGCCGATGAGGGTAGGAACGCCATCCACGTCGGTGTGGACGAGTGGACCACCGCTATCACCCTAGGAAGATAAGATTATTCATTTCTCTTTGTCAATAACGTTGTTATGTGTTTGGTTTGATTATTCGTTACGGTAAATCTGTTACTTGGGGAATAGGTAGTGTTGTTGTTGTTGAATCGGCATTTATATAGCTAGACCAAGCAAAGGTTTGATATCCTTAGTTCGTTTTAAGGATATCATTTCATAATTCTGTTCTTACAATTGTGTCAGTATTTGTTTTACTGAAAGTGCTTCCAGATGAACAAAAAACATGGAAAGTAATTACCTGACAAGTGGACTGGCTGGTGACGTTGAAATATCTAGCGCAAATGGCGTTGTTGTTAATGAGGGAATTTCCGAAGGTTCCGGCGCACGCATCGTTGGATATAGTTCGCAGGTACACCCAGTTCAAGTTTTGGGAAGTGGAGCCTGTGAAGATGTGTAAANAGTGTAAAAAGCACGTACTCGTGTTAAACAATTTAAATATTCTACTTAGAAATCGAAAATTTGTTAAATATGATAAAGTTTTGTTCAACTATATTATTATCTTCATCAATAGATCCACTCCATACCATCAGTCCATGTCCTTCCATGGCCACTGGCGATTACTACAAGACCTTCGTAGTTGCGGAACGCATCCACACCAGGTTGAATACGGATTCTCTGAGTGAGCCCTGTAAATCACAAACAAAAAATAATATAATCTATGTAGATGGTAATAATCATTCCTAATATCTAAGCATATCTAAAAAGAACTCATACCAATATTGGGTAATTACGAGTCACAAGACTGGAAAATTTGATCTAAAACTGAATGCAGAACAAATTATTATTATTATAAAACTTTATTGCACAATAAAATAGTAGGTACAAAAGGTGGACTTAATGCTATTTGAGCATTCTCAGCCAGTCGACCCCTGGGTTATGCAGAAAGCTGTGAGTGCGAAGGTAGAGGTAGAAGGGTAGAAGTTAAAATTGAAGTTAGATTTTTAACAAATCGATTATAACAAGATAAAATAACATAAACTTACTGGTATACGTAACAGAGTCTTGCATTTTCACAAGTGAGATATCATTGGGCTGCACGAACTGAGGCATTTCTTCGACAAACGTGGGGTAGTTGTACCACTCTGTAGTCTCGGAGGTGAATTCTGGATGAGACACATCCACTACACCAGCGCGGACTAGAATACTTGCACGCCTAAAAACAACAGTTTTTATTAATTTGCCTTAAAATAAACTTTATTTTAAGGTTTGGACAATAATATGCATCGCTCTTTTAATAACACATTCGGCATCCTGAACCCTAATCAGCCATAAAATGAATCAAAAGATTAATAAAATTAATTCACAAACATCGGTATAATGAAAAAATAGGGTAATAAACAAATAGCAGTCGGCAACACCATTAAAAAAATTTAAAACAACGCGCAAAGGTAACACAATACATACAGCCTCCATCCATAATATAATTTTGTTTTTTTCTAGGCATCTTTTTCCACGGCTGAAAAACTTTCTCGTTTACAAAAGTCCCTCGTCCTTCATAAACGTACCCAGCAGTGCAGTGAGCGGCGGAGATGACCCAGTTCTTGGCGACGAGGGAGCCTCCACAGCTGAAGGCGGCGCCGTCGGGGTTGACCATGCGCAGGGACACGTGGTGCGGGTGCTGCCCCGGGTACGCCTCCCAGCCCGACACGATGCGAGAACCTAGAGATAGCAAAAAGATGGCGGAATAACTTGGCGGGAAAGTGAGACCTGGTGCGTGTGATGCCCCGGCCGGGTACGCCTCCCAGCCCGACCTGATGCGGGAACCTAGAGATACTATTACTTACTTATTCTGTGCCTAGAGATAGCAAAAAGATGGCGGAATAACTCGGCGGGAAAGTGAGACCTGGTGCGTGGTATGCCCCGGGAACCTACAAGCGTTCATACTTGAGGTCAAGAGCCCCCCTGCGCTATACTACACACGCTGTGCGATCCAGGGATGTAGCTAACTCCGTATCAATGATACGGGACCCCGTATCAGGGTCGTTAATACCAATACCAACAGTTAAAAAAAATCTATAAAGTTCATGAACTTGAAGCCGTGCGGTGTTAGGTAAGGTAGGTATTATTTATTTGCTAAACTGCTTACCGTCATTGCTGCGAACATTTTCTACATAGCTAGGCTCTGCTAGTTGGGCTACGTCTGGTCTTGCTGGGACCTGAAAATGGGCACCGGCAAATTAACACATCTCGTGGCGAACGTTAAAAAGGTAATTCTTTCTGTAATCGTAACGAAATCAACGGTGAGTCTTCGAAGCGAAGGACTGGCTCGTTTGATTCTCGGTGGTGTCAATCCGACATTTTCTCGGTTTCGAGTCGTATTATGGCGAGTGGGTAATCGCCAACTTACGAGTATATCAAAAATAACGTTACGCTGAATCTATAAGTATTTCTTCGGTATAACTTCAGGAAAAAAGATAACAGTTGGCCTGCCAGCAATTTCAGAACACTTCAAGAGATGAGCCACCGGAGGAGCTTTGTATTTAATTAGTTGCGCAATGCTTTATCATCATTTAAATATATTTAGAAAGTTCTAGACCCTCACAACTTCAAAATTACCTTTTTAATTCTTTAGAAAAACTGTAGTTCTAGAGAATCCTTAACATTTATTACCTGAGTCACAGCTAGAGCGACCACGAATACCAACTTCCACGACATGTTTGATCCCACTGTTCCCTCCACTCACCGCAAAGCTCCGCGTAGGTATATCGCGACACTTGAATCCATCAAACGGTAGCAAAAAATCACTGTTAAGTAGCACTAATTACTGATAGCCATGATATCTTGATTGAGCACGCAAGTACAGCAATAATAATTATATGCCGATAGTGAGCGTATCAATACTTACCAAAATTGATAAAAATAATTCGATAGCTACTTACTGCTGACACACGGATTTGCAAAATCAGTTTTCTTCAATCAATGATTAAACAATCAAAACACTTTAAACCTAACACGCATTCTTTGAACATTAATGTAAAAAGTAAACAAGTTTGCTTGTAATATTTTAGCCTCGGACCTAATTATATCTATTCCTGAGTCTATCTTTCGTTGTTGCAGCAATCCAAACATTTGCTTTGAGGGAAAGGAAAGGAGAGCTTTGAACAGCACGGGCCATTGAATTGGCCACTCAGCACACGCCTATTTTTTTACTATTCTATGTTATTTTGTCACGAGACACCATCTTAGAGCGCAAAGACCGAATAACTTAGTTTTATTTAATTTTTTTCGTGTTAAAATCAAATTGTCTCATATTTTATCCTAATTTGAACCAGTCTCATTGTTGTCAGTTACCAGTAGATTTTAAAAACTGTACTTTGATATTAAGTTGCAAGGCTACATAAAAACTAAACTAGACTGGACATAATTATAACTCTTCACGTCATCTTTTCTTATTATGTTCGTTAATAATTTCCATTGACGTATAAATTAAGAAGCTTATCTCGTATCTACTTTAGATTGCAATCAAGGAGTAGCAAGAAATAAAACAACTCAGTTATGACGTAGCGATTACAAACAGAAATAAATAATACCATTTTATTCATAACTATAAGTTAACTTTCTATACAAGCGTCTAACCCCCGACGGAAGAGAGGGGTGTTATTTTCACGTGTCTGTCTTTTAGGCTGGTTTTAGAGTCACGCTGACGCACGCTGACCGTCAGCGCTGATAGCCGAAATGTATGAAGCGTCGGCGCCGAGCGATCAGCGTCACTCAGGAACGTTCCCTTCAATTACATACATATTGATCTGTCAGCGCCGATGATCAGCGAGCGGTCAGCGCGATTCTAAAACCCGCCTTAAACAAGTTTTCAACACACTTTTATTAGGTTAGTGTCGGTGCGTGATGTGCTTGTCGTGGTTGATGACGTGTTTGTTGCCGTGCTTGCTCATCTTGACCTTGACTTTCACGAGCACTTCCAGTTTCTTGAGAAGCTCAGATAATTCTTTGTCATCCTCGTCTTCGTCTGAATCTACATCGCTGGAATCTTCTTCGGAGCCATCATTTGATTCGTTCGATTCTTCCGGTGTTTCTTCCGATTCTTCCGGTTTTTCTTCAGATTCTTCTGGTGATTCTTCCGATTCTTCCGGCTCAGGGGTAGTCACAGGGGCCTGGGTAGTGGTGGTATGCTCAGGAGTAGTGGTGGTAGGCTCAGGGGTAGTGGTGGTAGACCCAGGAGTAGTGGTGGTATGCTCAGGAGTAGTGGTGGTAGGCCCAGGAGTCGTGGTAGGCTCAGGGGTGGTGGTGGGAGCGTCAGTGGGCGGCGACTCAGTCTCGCCGTCGCTCAGTGTATCAAAGTCGATGCCGGTGATGTCGGTATACCAGTCGTGGAATGGGCTGGTGCGGACGAATGCTGAGGGAGAAATACATTGTGTTATTTATGGTATGAAATAAGGTAATATTTGGGCTAATTATTTTCTTAAGGCTGAGTTGCACCACCTAACTTTAACCGTAACTATAGCAATATTCGGTGCTTTTTTATGAAGTTTGACAGAGTTTTGACGTTTGTTAAAGTTAAAGTAAGATGGTGCAACCCAGCCTAAGTTTATCAAAAGCTATAATTAAAATCATTCGGTGTCACTAACTGCAACAATACAATGCGCTCGTTATGGTCGTGTACAGTCGCGTGTCATCTACGCTGCTGAAAGGTACTCATAAAACTTTTTTATTTCCGTTACCGCTACCGTTTATGGTTGTCTAAAGCCTGGTCCGTGAGCACGTAGAATCCCGTCCAATGACCCCAAGCTACCCATCCTTATCGCTCGCGCGTAATTATATTGCTGTCGCGACTGTGCGACGCGCGCCCGCAGTGAGTGTGCGAGCGTGACAGCAACACATAATTACGTGCGAGCGACAAGGATGGGTAGCTTGGGGTCATTGGACGGGATTCTACGTGCTCACGGACCAGGCTTTAGTTGCATATCGAGTATGCAGTGGCAGGGTCGTCGCTATCACCGTATCAGCCGTATCANCTGTATCAATGATACGGGGCCCCAGGGCTACAGGGCCCGACTACCGACGTTTTTTAGATAATACATATTTAAAAAGAACTTCTCATAAGTCACCTTCTACTGCTTCGATCATCAGACTAAAGTCCGGTCGCCGAGCAGATAGAATTTCGTACAATGACCCCAATTATATTGCTGTTGCGACTGTGCGACGAGCGGCCACAGTGATTGTGCAAGCGACAACTGCAATATAATTGTGTTTGTCTTGTTGGTTGTCCTAATAAATAAATAAAATAAAATAATTGCTAAGGATAGGTAGCTCGGAGTCATTGTACGAAGTTCTATCTGCTCGGCGACCGGACTTTAGCTCTAAAAAATCGCTCGCGTGTAATCTTGTAACTTTAATTTAATTTAAATTGCGTCAAAATTACCTCTACGTTTAAGTTTCATATTCTGTCAAAGTCCACTTTTACAGTCTGTAATTAAGATAGCACCTAGTCCTAAGACAACATTATGTATGTGAACCCCTTTGCTTGTATTTGTGTCTTTTTGGTTGTCCTAATATGCTAAAAGAGGCGCCAATTACCAGAACGTTGCGTACACTTAATGTAGTAGCTAGAACCGTTGACATATTCAGCTGTTCTTTGACTGAATTCACAAAGGTTACATTATTTATTTTATGTTATAGCCATAGCGGCAATCTTAATTGTTAAATATGTACTAATTAATCTACTCTATCGCATTGGGGTAACCTGTAATGTTAGAGCTAAGATTGTTATTAAATAAATAAATAAAAAAATAAATAAATAAACTTACCCGCGGGTAGTCCGGAGTGGCAGCCGCCGTGCGCGGCGCCGGCCACGAAGGAAGCCACGCCGATCAAGGTGGGGACTCCATCGCTGCCCACCAGCACCAGAGGACCTCCGCTGTCGCCCTGCGGACAGTTCACAATGTAAAGCCTTTGCGGGCCCGCCTTTAACCCAGTTTGTAAAAAAATCCTTCCATCCATCTATACCACATTTAAAGTAAATGATGATTCTGATTGTGAAAAACTTAACATTATTACAACTTATAGTTTTTATCATTGCAACTTATAATTTTGTTTATACATCAGTTTTCTGGTGTCCATTTATACAACCTGTCCCGACATGGTCATCATGACTACTTTAGGAAAAATAAGAAAAAAAAATCTATCTTTATTATTTTTTAAATTACACAATGAAGAATGTTCACTGATTTTGTTTTTTAGCTTTCTGTATTCTCTGTTAAAAATAAAAAATACACGTGAAAGAATTATTTCGATACGTCAATTAGTTTCCAAGATATTGAATTTTAAAAGTGCGGGCGGCGGCCGGCCCGCCATTTTATGCGCGTAACGTCATATTACAACGACTGGCTCATATATTTTGTATGGGTGGAATCTTGCAAACTGAATTAAGACCGTTTAGAACACAAACCGTCCCCACACGACACCAAAAAAAAAGTGTACCTATGATATGTTTATTCTATTTTTAAGCTTGTAAGCGCTTTGGACCTGCTCTGTAAGCTTACAAGTGTTTTGCATTAATAAATAAATAAATAAATGAAATTCGAAAATTGACACCTCTTATGATATTTTAAATTACCGCGACCAGAATAAAAAAAAATCATCAAGCTTGTTGAACGTCCGATCCAATCCGCTTGAAAGAGTAACAAACATTCGTCTATCTTCACTCAAACCTAGCTTTCGCGCTTACGATTACGAATTCCCTGTCACTATTGGTACACAATGTACTATCGGCCACAGTGTTAACTGTCCATTTCCATTTTTGCTCTCGCTCCCATCAAATGGTGATTCTTTGCGATAAAACGAGACGACATGAGCGGCAATGGGTAGTTAGAACATTGTTGTCCATAGTAAAATTCTACATTAATGACAATTAAATAGTGGCATACGGGGGGAGGGGCGGTGGGGGCGGTCCGCCCCGGGTGCCATTTCAAGTATTACGTAACGCAATTTGGATGGGGAGGGGGGTCCCGTAAAACGTTACGATGCGTTACAGGGGCGGGAGGGGGATTTTCTTACAAGACGTTACGTAACATTGTTTCTTAATTTTTAAATAAAAATTTAGGGAATTAAAACTCCCAAATTGGCAACCCTTTTTGTTTACGTTTTACGGGGAATCCTTCGTTTGTATTATAGTACGATCGTCATTTTTCATTTGTTTGGCTCGACGAAGACGAAGTTGATGCTATAATAAACATGTTAAGTATTTTAAGAGTTTGTGTAAAAAAAGCTAAAATAGGATAGGAATGACGGAGAAAAACAATTGTGTGTGTGTAAAGCCAGAAATTTATAGAAAAATAAACAAAATAATTAAAAATTGAAAGGTGTTGCGGATTAAAAATCTCTTGTTTTATTTAGTATGATTACCGCAAAAGCAATTAAAACTATACCAAGGACAAAAACTATAACATAACTTTTAGCGCCTTTAGAGTAAAAATGGTCACTTGAGTGTTACGTAACGTTTAGAGATGGGGAGGGGGGTACAGGA